GTCATCCGGACCAGGAGCTCGGTGGCGCTTGAGAGAACATATGCAGTCGTAGACCTCCGAGGCCGTAGGTGGTTCCGTGTTCACCGTCCAGGGTTCTACTTCACCTGTGGGCTCTAGATGACTTCCGGCTGGTGGCCACGACAGTTGTGTACATATACAGGCATACCAAACACAGAGAATAATTCACATAGACATTTAATAATGGCGGATGCACATGTATTCGCGCAAGGAAAGGCTAATGGGAACGGGGTAACTCGTCAATGATAGTAAGGAGACATCGGTTTCGAGTAACACAAGGGGTCCGTCCTAATTCGTTTGAATGGTTGAGTCGCTTTGATGAGCACAATGGGGGTGGTTTCTGAAATTGCCGCTTGATGGCGGCACTAACCGTACATTTGTGATGCCTTTGACATCCTGGAGGGCAAACGGCAAGTTTTTTTGGAAAAAACAAAGTGATGCATGCAAGTAAATCCGGGATTGCGCAAGGAATAATGAATTTCTTTTAATTTATCATTGTCGATCATATTGGCGCATAGGTTACGCAATAAGGTATCAGCCAACAGATTGTCTTTTCCAAGCCTGTAGCTGACGTCGTAGCTAAAAGCGAGGAGTTCCATCTCCCATCCCTGGATTCTATCGATTTTATCTTACTTTTCCGCGACGCTATACATAAGGGAAGCCGACCGCTGGTCAGTGATAATTTTGAAGTGCTTTCCGAAGAGATGGTTTCGGATGGCGTCAGCGTGTCAGTAACGAGGCGATTAGAAAACGGGTATTTGGTTGTGCTGCAGGCACCTCAATCCGGGAAAACATCCAGCATCATCGAGTACGATGGCTCGGTCATGTGCTACGCATGCCGAAACACCGTCTACCGAGACGAGTGTTGTTCTCCGTGCCTCCTTCAGGATGGCGCAAACCGCGAGGTGGACAGCACATGACTTGGCAAAAAGGCGTGAAAGAGATCACGAAGAGTTTGGGTGTTGTTGGTGTTGTGCGACTTCCAGGATGGGGTCCCCGTGACCCCGTCTGTGCTTGGCTGGAGACGTTGCAAGAAATGGCGGCTAATCGATGTCAGTGGTGTTCGTGCTGTCAGTTTCTTTCCAGATTGTCTGATTGAGCGGTTGGAGGTGTAGGCACCTCAGTATGCTTGACATAGGCCAGCACTAGGTCCCCTCCCTCACCCACTCTTTTCCTCTTCTCTTCACTGTAGGGCTTTTAATACAATTATATATATATGTGTATATAACTAGACGAACCTTATGGTTGTACGGCAGTGAAGCATCAGTGGCAACACTGATGTTGCTGTCTTTGCTGCTGCTGCTGCTGCTGATGATGATGATGATGATGATAGTGCTTCAACGATGACGTATACCTCTTTCTCAATAACAGAATGACTCTTTTCGCTTGGTGTCAGTGTTATGGAAAAGAAGGCCACCTGTTGGCCGTTCTGAATAAAAGACGCAGCGATGGCTCTGAAGCGTCCCTCTCGACAACCAATGATGCGTTCTAGCCGACTGTCACAACCATAGCGTTCTCTAACTCCTTTAGATTTTCGCAGGACTATTGTACACGCTCCGGTCAGGGGAAAATCTTATTTCTGGTAAGCACACTGATTTTGTCAGAGAAGTATGGTTTGCGAATGAAATGATAAGCAAACATACCAACAACTAATCGGAATTTAGCGTCATGTGGATTGGGGAGTTTACGAATAGGGACTCATTTGTTCAGGATCTGGTTTTGTAATTACATCAGAGACTTCATAGCCGAGAAGGTGTATTCGCTTGGCTGCTGTGATGCTTTTCTTGCAGTTAAGCGTAACTCCATATTTTTTTTATTTATAAGAAGATTTGAGGTTCTGGTCATCCTGACTTAGGGCAATCTCACAAGTTCTCAGACTTGATTGTGTGGTCATTAGTACGCTGGGAGCATGCTACTCCGTTGGTAAAACTGAAATGAATACGATGGAATTGGGACAATTCTCCGCACGCTTCAAAAACCGTATACGTGATGATGATGATGATGATGATAGTGCTTCAACGATGACGTATACCTCTTTCTCAATAACAGAATGACTCTTTTCGCTTGGTGTCAGTGTTATGGAAAAGAAGGCCACCTGTTGGCCGTTCTGAATAAAAGACGCAGCGATGGCTCTGAAGCGTCCCTCTCGACAACCAATGATGCGTTCTAGCCGACTGTCACAACCATAGCGTTCTCTAACTCCTTTAGATTTTCGCAGGACTATTGTACACGCTCCGGTCAGGGGAAAATCTTATTTCTGGTAAGCACACTGATTTTGTCAGAGAAGTATGGTATCGATTGCGAATGATAAGCAAACATACCAACAACTAATCGGAATTTAGCGTCATGTGGATTGGGGAGTTTACGAATAGGGACTCATTTGTTCAGGATCTGGTTTTGTAATTACATCAGAGACTTCATAGCCGAGAAGGTGTATTCGCTTGGCTGCTGTGATGCTTTTCTTGCAGTTAAGCGTAACTCCATATTTTTTTTATTTATAAGAAGATTTGAGGTTCTGGTCATCCTGACTTAGGGCAATCTCACAAGTTCTCAGACTTGATTGTGTGGTCATTAGTACGCTGGGAGCATGCTACTCCGTTGGTAAAACTGAAATGAATACGATGGAATTGGGACAATTCTCCGCACGCTTCAAAAACCGTATACGGTTTGTCTTTCCCACTGATTGGAACTTGATGGTAAGCACCCAAAAGGTGTAAGGCGCTAAACACAGCATGGATGGAAATTTCTTCAATCATTTCATCCAACCGCGGTAACGGATAAGCGTCTAGGTATGTGGACCGATTAATGGTTTGACTGTAGTCCACCACGATGCGTCTGTGGTTTGAATTTTTCGTGACCAGTGCTTGATCCCTTCATGGAGAATTCGAAGATTCAATTATAGCTTCATCCAGCAGTCTCCAAATTCAGAACAAATGAACTGTCATCGTCAGGGTTGTAACGCCGTGATTTCGTGGCGATAGGCTTGTAATCGGGTGAGAAGTTAGCAAGAAGAAGTGACTCAGCCGTAACAGGAGTTAAGCTGGTTCTCACTGAATGTGATTTCAGTTTTGTTGTGTAGACCAAAGAAGTCGTGGCCTAGCAGCGCGTTAGCATAGGTTAGGTAACACTACTGGTTTGATTTTTTATAATCGATACCCCTGTAATCGATGGATGCGTAGCAGTAGACGCTAGTTAGAGAAGTAGATGCCATAGTCATCACAGAGTACTTAGCATGTATCTTCCAGCCATGCATACAAACTACCAAAGGATATATATATATATATA